AGTAGCTGGGACTACAGGCATGTGCCACCATGCCCAGCTAATTTTTTTTCTATATACTTTTTTTAGTTGTCCCGCTAATTTTTCTACTTTTAGCAGAGAAGGGTCTCGCTATTGCTCAGGCTGGTCTCAAACTCCTGACCTTGAGCAATCCTCACGCCTCAGCCTTCCAGAGTGCTAGGATTACAGGCATGAGCCACCACGCCTGGCCCCTATCTATATCATTTTTAATAGCTACATGGCATTTTATAATTTAATCTTTTATTATTAGACACTTAGTATGTTTCAATTTTTCACTCTTATAAAGAATAATGAACTACCATGATACTAAAATTTTATGAACAATCCTTTCTAAAAGGGTTCGTAAGTACATAGAGCTTTTTAAGTGGAGATTTTTAATTAAAGAAACTTTGCCAGGCATGGTGGCACACACCTGTAGTGCTGGCTACTTGGGAGGCTGAGGCAGGAGGATCACTTGAGGCCGGGAGTTCCAGGCTGTAGTGCGCTATGGTTGCACCTGTGAATAGCCACTGCACTCCAGCCTGGGCAACATAAGAGCACCTCCTTGTACTCATCACTTAGCTGCAACGGTATAACCATGATAAATATTGTTTCTTCTATGTCTCACTCCAGATTATTTTGAAGAAAATCCAAATCATTTCATTTTATCATAAATATTTAAATACATTTCTTCTATGTCCCACTCCAGATTATTTTGAAGAAAATCCATATCATTTCGTTTTATCATAAATATTTAAATATGTATTTCTAAAAGATAAAGACTAAAAAAAATCAGCATGTAGATTTTTTAAGTCTTTTCATATGTTATAACCAAATTCATATCCAAAAAAGTACTATTTTACATGGCTGGTATATGAAAGTTCCTGTTGTTCCTTACCCTCTTCACTGTTTTGCTTTGTTTACTCTGTGTGGGATTCAACCTTAAAAAGTTGTTTTTTTGTTTTAATTTGCATTTCTTTGATTAAAGATGTGTTAAAAGTTTTTTTCATTTGCTTATCATATATGTTTCTTTGTGAAAATACCTTTTTTTGATTTTTTTTAATACAAATGTTTTTCTCTTATCTTTATATATACTTTTTTCTATGTTAAAAATCAGCCTGGTGTTTTAAAATGTTAAAATATAAAGGAAGTTTCTTACATAATTTCATTTTAAAGACCATTTCAAAAGCAAATAACTTACCAATTGTAGAATTATGCAGTGGCTGAATTACACAACTGCAGTGGCTCTGATCAGCCAGCTAGCCAGCAGTATTTATTGAGCACCTACAGGACTCTGAGGTATAGGTGCCATTTGGTAGAGAAAAAGGAAAGAGGTTGCCTGGTCTCTTTCTATTAGGGCTCTCAAAACTAATGAATATATTTGAAAATAACTTAATACTTGTTTGTTTTAAGGGTGTTCCAAGTAGAAGGAGCAAATCTTAATCTTATTTTCAGGTTTATTTTTATACATGCCGTGATATGGACACCATTTGTGGATTGGTCACAGAAGAATTCCTGTTAAACATTATCAAATTTGTCGGCATGGGAAAGTATCATGAATTGAAAGATCATTTTGAATTGCATTTTCTTGAGTTCATATTTCTGCCACCAGGGGTCAGTCCTGCATCAAGACCTTCTCCAGGAACTCCTACCAGTCCCAGCAACCTCACCAGTGGCCTGAAAACACCTGCACCTACCACAACAGCATCTCACAACCCTCTGGCAAATATCCTCTCGAAGGTGGAGATCACCCCAGAGAGCATTCTGTCTGCTCTTTCCAAAACCCAGACACAGTCAGCCCCTGCACTGCAAGGTAAACTGACATGTGCCAGAGGGGCTTGAATTGTGAATGTTTGTCTCTGGTTTTATCCTGGATTCCATTTCTGAGGAATCCAAATTCATAAAATGTATAATACAGTTAATTCATTATTCTTTTTATATTTATCATCTATGAGCCAGCATTTAAAGAATTATAAAATGTTACAGCTGAAAGAAACTTTAAATATTATCTAGTCTCATCCCCTTCTTTTCAGGTAAGGAAGCTAAGGCTCAGTGAGGTGATGTGACCTGCTTAAAGTCACACACCTATCTATTCAGTGATGAGCCAAGACTAAAAGCCGGATTTCTTGACTGGGGTCCAGTATTCTTTCATCTACACCATGACACCCTGAGGGCCTGCATTAATCATCCCAGCTTTTTATGTAGATTAATGTGTGTTGAGTTTTATGTATTTTAATGTTAACCGAAGCGAAAGACAGTAAGAAAGATCAATCTTATTAAAAAAAAAAGTCTTGTTTCTGTGTCCTAATGTCTTATAGAGGCCTCTCTTTTCCCATGTGGTATATCTTTTTGGTTTTCCCCTGCCTTTAATCTCTACCTCATTTGAACCTTTCTGTTCAGCTTTGTTAATTATGTTTTATGCATAACACTGTCTGCTTCTAGCATTTTTTCATAAGGCTTACCTGTTCTCTACTCTCTTACCCTCCAGATACCAACACAGTCCTTTTTAAGCACCTTGTTATAATTATAACATGAATTACAAATACCAGGAAGTCCAGGCGCAGTGGTTCGTGCCTGTAATCCTAGCACTTTGAGAGGCTGAGGCAGGATTGCTTGAGGCCAGGAGTTCTACACCAGCCTGGGCAACATAGCAAGACCCCAGCTCTACAAAAACTAAAAAAAACTAGCCAGGCATGTGTGGCACACACCTGTAGTCCCAGCTACTCAGGAGGCTGAGGCAGGAAGATTACTTGAGCCCAGGAGTTTGAGGTTGCAGTGAACTATGATGATGCCACTGTACTCTAGCCTGGGCAACAAAGCAAGACCCTTTCTCAAAAAAACACAAATGAACAGTATCTTCAATGTAGTGATTTACTTTATATCAGTAGTTTCATTCAAGGGCCTCCAGGGGACATTTGGCAATGTTTGGAGACCTTTTTGGTTATCACAACTGGGGTGAGGGTGGGGGTGCTACTGCCTTTAGTGAGTAGAGGCCAGGAACATGCCGCTAAACATTCTACAAGGCATAGGACAGCCCACAACAACAAAGAATAATGCAGCCCGAATGTAAACAATACTAAGGTTGAGAAACCCTGCTCTATGTGAATAGAGCAGTATAGGTATCTGTTAATATCTGTTTCCTAAACTGTTCTGTAAGTGGCTCATTCAAAGATTATAGTGAACTTTGTCTTAAGATATAGAAGAAATTTTTTACACAAAACTAAATACTATTAAACAATAACACACACACACACACACACACACACACATCTGTTGGCACCAGCCATAAGGAATTGATAATAACTATAGTACATCTTCTACTACTAATTTCAGGGACAATTCATTTGAGAGATAGACATGTTTATGATTTCTCCCGTTTAGTCTCTCTTCTATCACCATCCTATAGTTACAGTAAAATTCTTGAACTCATTTGTATCTTAGCTACTCATATAGATATAATACTACATCTTAAAGAGAAGCTTTTCCTTTCATCAAATCACTGCAGCAATATCATGTGGACTTTCTCATCAGGCAAAATTTGAACCTAGTACTAGTTGTGTTCTGACAAAATGAGCACAAAACCCAGACAAGAACCTTTGTGGAATAACAGGGTAGTTCATCACCTTTCATTTCCTTATGGAAATTGGAATTGTCGTTGGCTTTTAAAAGAACTATATCTAACAACTTAAATATTAATAAATGTGTTTCCTCAAAGACTGTAAAAGAAATCTCTTAGAACTTTGTTCTGATTGTGTCATCCACAGCCTTTATAAACAGATTTTCAGTGCAAAAGAAAGATGTAAGTGGACAGAGGGGCATAGAAGAGCATATGGCTTGTTAAGATTGAAGAAAAGTAATGTTTAGTGGTGAGAGGTAATCTTACCTATTGCCAGAAAGCTAAGTAGTATCTATCTTAAATAGATGGCCTTTTGAAGAATTCATCCCACAATATCTGAAAGATAAACTGAAATATCTTTAAAAATCATATGACATTATCATATATCACATTCTAGTGTTTGAGGATTTCTAGTTTTGATGAGAACACTGACTACTAAGAATTAAACTGTTAGGAGGAGGGAAATTATATAGCCAAGGAACTTTTTAGAATGAAATGTGGATTTTTTTTTTCAGGAGGATAACTGATGTAAACATTATTTTAATTGTTTGCATATTATTGAATATTGGATATTGGGTTATTGCATAACAAAACCATGTAACATTACTTAGAAATAGATGGCTTAAAAATGTTAGAATGATGGATGGGCCTTGAAATTCTTTAGACCTTAAATCTTTTAGAAAATCTGGGTTAAAATTGAAATTTTGAAGAAACATTAATTGAAGTGTCATTTGAAGTATTATGTCTTTCACCATAGCATTACTAAGGAACAATTTTAGTGTATTTGGTGACTAAAGCTATAAATTTGGGTGAAATGTATATTAAAAGCTTTCATTAATGACCAGAAATTGGGTAAATTTTCCAAAACGTGATTGAATTTATAGGACCTCGTGTTATCTCTTTGTCAAATATTTTTTTAAAAATTTTTAATAGCAGTTTGTTTTGTTGAACTTCAACCTTTGCCGCAAACAATTCTTTCTCAGTGCTTCTGAGAAAGTTTTGACTATCAGTGAATAGGGTTGACTCTCGTCATTGTTAATCTGGACTGATCAATAATCTTTGGATTTACCACAATTTTCCACACTATAAAATAGGGATTGTGTGTTTTCTTGGAAAAGGATCAGTGCCCCTAGTGGTCTGGGTTTGTAAGTCTTTTGATGTATGTTTATATATTTAATGTTTTTTATAACTACATTTTACAACTGAAATTAATAGTTGAAAACATTGTTTCTCTAAAGGTATACCAGCCTAACAAGAGATGCTTCTTGAAAGAAGTGTTCCCTCTTCAAATAAGTTTCCGAAATTTGTATATGCTATCTCTCTCTTGAAAATAACAGTGTACATTAACTTATTTGAGATAAATGTAGAGGTTGGAAAGGTAGGGCAGAATATCTTTTCGCATTTAGAGAAACATTTCCACAGATCAAACATCAAGAAATACTGGTTTGGGCCGGCGTGGTGGCTCACGCCTGTAATCCTAGCACTCTGGGAGGCTGAGGCGGGCGGATTGTTTGAGCTCAGGAGTTCGAAACCAGCCTGAGCAAGAGCGAGACCCCGTCTCTACTAAAAATAGAAAGAAATTAATCAGACAACTAAAAATATATAGAAAAAATTAGCCGGGCATGGTGGCGCATGCCTGTAGTCCCAGCTACTCGGGAGGCTGAGGCAGAAGGATCGCTTGAGCCCAGGAGTTTGAGGTTGCTGTGAGCTAGGCTGACGCCACGGCACTCACTCTAGCCCAGGCAAAAGAGTGAGACTCTGTAAAAAAAAAAAAAAAAAAGAAAAAGAAATACTGGTTTAATGTGTTTCAAGAATCTTGTCTCTTTTCTTTTCCTGCTTTGCATTATTTAAACAGTGAATGATTCTGACATTAAAATCTCTGCCTTCCTGTTGCCTTTTATCATGCCATGTTGGGCTCATTTCTGGACTGGACTGGAAGCATTTCAGTTATTTGCTCTTTATTGATAAGTAGATCCAGTGTTTTCTATGACATTTAGCCATTGCTTATTCGGTCTGGATTCCCTTTGGCTTCATACTTTGTCTATCGGGTTCCCACCAGAATGAATGAGAATATCTGATTAGCCTACATTGTATTGTATGGTAGGGAGTTGTTCTTTTTAACCCCTCTAATCTTTGTTTCTACAGGCCTGTCATCTTTACTTCAGAGTGTTACTGGGAACCCAGTTCCAGCCAGCGAAGCTGCATCACAGAGCACTTCAGCCTCCCCTGCCAGCACCACGGTCTCTACCATGAAGGGAAGAAATCTGTCTTCCAATACCCAGTCTTTTATTCCCAAAAGCTTCACCTATTCTCCTAATTCGTCAACTTCTGAAGTCTCTTCAACTTCAGCCAGCAAAGCCTCAATTGGGCAAAGCCCAGGGCTCCCAAGCACTACTTTTAAACTACCGTCCAACTCTCTAGGGTTTACAGGTACCCACAATACTAGCTCTGCTGCCCCACCTACTGAAGTTGCCATGTGCCAATCTTCAGAGATCTCCAAGCCAAAGCTGGAGTCAGAGTCCACCTCCCCAAGCCTGGAAATGAAGATCCACAACTTTTTAAAAGGTAATCCTGGTTTCAGTGGCTTAAACTTAAACATCCCAATCCTGAGCAGTTTGGGGTCCAGTGCCCCATCAGAGAGCCATCCCTCAGACTTCCAGCGTGGCCCTACTAGCACCTCAATCGACAACATTGATGGAACCCCCGTACGGGATGAACGGAGTGGGACGCCCACCCAGGATGAGATGATGGACAAGCCCACATCCAGCAGTGTAGATACCATGTCCCTGCTTTCTAAGATCATTAGCCCTGGTTCCTCAACACCCAGCAGTACAAGATCACCACCCCCTGGGAGAGATGAAACCTATCCCCGGGAGCTCTCCAATTCTGTATCTACATATCGACCCTTTGGCCTGGGCAGTGAATCTCCCTATAAGCAGCCTTCTGATGGAATGGAGAGACCATCTTCCCTGATGGACTCTTCACAGGAAAAGTTCTTTCCAGATACTTCTTTCCAAGAAGATGAGGATTACCGAGATTTTGAGTATTCAGGGCCTCCACCCTCTGCCATGATGAACCTAGAGAAGAAACCAGCCAAATCTATCCTGAAATCAAGCAAGCTTTCTGATAACACCGAATACCAGCCAATCCTGTCCAGTTATAGCCACAGAACCCAAGAATTTGGGGTAAAGTCTGCTTTCCCTCCATCTGTAAGGGCCCTCCTGGACTCTAATGAGAACTGTGACCATCTCTCTTCTTCCCCTGGGCTATTTGGTGCCTTCAACATAAGAGGGAATGAACCTGGGTCTGACCGGTCACCATCACCGAGTAAGAATGATTCATTTTTCACCCCTGACTCCAACCACAATAGCTTGTCTCAATCTACCACTGGGCATCTCAGTTTGCCACAGAAGCAGTACCCAGACTCCCCTCACCCGGTCCCACATCGTTCCCTTTTCTCTCCGCAGAATACCCTTGCCGCTCCCACGGGTCACCCACCCACTTCAGGCATGGAGAAAGTCCTGGCCTCCACCATTTCCACCACATCGACGATTGAATTTAAGAATATGCTTAAAAACGCCTCACGCAAGCCCTCAGATGATAAGCATTTTGGCCAGGCCCCCAGCAAGGGCACTTCAAGTGATGGTGTCAGTCTTTCAAACCTTACCCAGCCCAGCTTGACCGCCACTGATCAGCAGCAACAAGAAGAGCACTACCGCATAGAAACCCGTGTCTCCTCCTCCTGCCTAGACTTGCCTGATAGCACAGAAGAAAAGGGGGCCCCTATAGAAACCTTGGGTTATCATAATGCCTCCAATAGGAGGATGTCAGGGGAGCCAATACAGACCGTAGAGTCCATCCGAGTTCCTGGGAAGGGAAATAGAGGACATGGGCGTGAGGCTTCAAGGGTGGGTTGGTTTGATCTGAGTACATCAGGCAGCTCTTTTGACAATGGCCCCTCAAGTGCCTCTGAGTTGGCATCCCTTGGGGGTGGTGGCAGCGGAGGCCTCACTGGCTTTAAAACAGCACCGTACAAGGAACGGGCACCCCAATTTCAGGAGAGTGTCGGCAGCTTTCGTTCCAACAGTTTCAACTCAACATTTGAGCATCATCTCCCCCCGTCCCCCTTGGAACATGGGAAACCCTTCCAGAGAGAGCCAGTGGGGCCATCATCTGCCCCACCTGCCCCTCCTAAGGATCATGGTGGTATCTTCTCTCGAGATGCACCTACTCATCTACCCTCTGTGGATCTTTCGAACCCCTTCACAAAAGAGGCAGCCCTGGCCCATGCTGCCCCACCCCCTCCTCCTGGAGAGCACAGCGGAGTTCCTTTCCCTACCCCACCCCCTCCTCCACCCCCTGGGGAACATAGCAGCAGTGGTGGGAGTGGTGTCCCCTTTTCTACTCCTCCCCCTCCACCACCTCCTGTTGACCATTCTGGAGTTGTACCCTTCCCAACCCCAGCACTGGCAGAGCATGGAGTGGCAGGGGCTGTGGCAGTATTTCCCAAGGACCATAGTTCCCTTCTTCAAGGGGCCCTGGCTGAGCATTTCGGGGTGCTCCCAGGACCCAGGGACCATGGGGGCCCCACCCAACGGGACCTGAACAGCCCTGGCCTTAGCCGTGTACGCGAGAGCCTGAGCCTACCCTCCCATTCTCTGGAGCACCTGGGCCCAGCCCATGGAGGAGGAGGTGGGGGAGGCAGCAACAGCAGCAGTGGCCCCCCCTTGGGTCCCTCACACAGAGACACCATCAGCCGGAGTGGTATGATTTTACGGAGTCCCCGGCCAGACTTTCGGCCTAGGGAACCTTTTCTCGGCAGAGACCCGTTTCACAGTTTAAAGAGACCCAGGCCACCTTTTGCTAGGGGCCCTCCGTTCTTTGCACCAAAACGCCCATTCTTCCCTCCCAGGTACTGATGGAAACCAAGGGAAAGGCATTTAGAGAGCATTGGAAGTAGTTTGGTTTATTATTGTTGTTGTTTTTATTTGTTTTCCCTTCCTTTATTTTTTTATTATAATGAAGGGCCTCTCTTCCAAATTAAAAAGTCATATATTCTTGCATTTCACTGTTCCATCCAGTCCTCCCTCCCACTGCACTTATCTACCTTCTCCAAGTTGTTTGTATTTTAAAAAAAAAAAAAAAAAAAAGGTAAACTCAACTTAAGCCACTTCATTTGGCTGGGGGCTTGGGGAGTGGGGAGGAAAACTATATTTTGCCCCATCTATTGAAGAGTATTATTACATTTGAAATAAAACTTCCGTCAGTACAGATAATAACATGTGCGATGTTGGGATTTTCTTTTGGGCTTGGCTTATCAGGTAGTCCATGGAAGGAAGGATTCCTATTCCCTTCTCTCTCTAGCTAAGTAATTGCTATAACCAGCTTGGCTCCCTTCCCTGTGTGCTCTGTGCCCTGCTGACAGCCTAGAGATGTTACAAGGGAGGAAATACGGGAGACTTGGACCTTTCAGGTTTATTTGTTTTATTTTGTTTTTAAAGGCATGTTGAAGTCGAGTTCTTTATCCTTCTAAAATTTTTTTCTTTTTAATCAGCTTCTTCCTCTAAAATACTATCAGGCAATAACTTTGAGGAGGATACAAACCTCATTGTATTCTAGTAAAATTTTTTCATTTTATCCTTGGAATGAAAGACAGGGGGCTTGATATAATTTCAAGGTTAGAATAAGGAGTGACTACAATATTTAAAATTCAGAAAGGAACCATCAGTGGTGTTACATGACCTGCCTATCTTCGTAAACAAAAGAATAGGAAACATTTTCCAGGTAGTTTCACATGCCTTGCGCTAAGCTCTTGCCTCCTGCTTCTCTTTTTTGACTTTTTCTCCCTCAGTTTTCACTTCTACTGTGGCCAGAAAGACAGTTACTACAATTGACTATTGATACAAAGGTGCAACTGAAATATTACTCCTGCATTTTTTAAATATGAGAAGTAGACGTTAATTTTACCATGGTGCCTCCCTAATGTGAGTGGTATTTGTTGGTGGTTTTCAACAAAGGATAACTGTTAAAGAAAGGAAAATATGTGTCTTTCCTTTCCCCTTGCTTCAGTTTCACCCCTATTGATACTTTAAAGGAGGAGATTCAGTACCATTTTTCTTTGTATTGTACTTCTTCAGATGTGTCTTAGAGACAGATGGGTATTACTATACATACCTTTACAGAGAAACAGGAGGTCCTAGTAAATCTAAATTTGCCCTACACTATAGATGGCAATCTGTTACAATTCAAGATTCAACCCTTGTCCCCCCACCCCCACCCCAGGAAATAAAGAATGTTTCTGCCCTTAAGTCATTTTACATGAGAGAGAAGTGCTTTTCCTTCCCTGGACTGAAAGGCTTATTTGTATTTCCACATCTAGTACTTGGGAAAAAGACAATCACTGTACTTTTAAGCGTTTATATCTAGGGACACTGAAGAGCAAATGTTGCTTTACTATATATTTTTTTAAATTTAGTGTCTTACCCCAAGGTGTACACACTGATAATCTCCAGCTAGATGAATAAAACAGTGTTCAGTTTTGGGAGAAATTCCAGCAGATTTCATATGTTTTCTCCCAAGTTAGTATGGACCTAACTATGGGAAGCATAGGAGTTGCTTTGGATTCCTCCAGTGGAATATTAGAGATGGGGAGGGTGGGCGGTGTAGTGACAGGTGGTGCTTCTTTGTCTCAGAGTAAACTTGCTTTTCAGAGAAAGCTTAAACAAGGTGTGCATTAGTTGGGGGTTTTTGTGTAACTTATTCTCTGTTATTTATTTGGGCTCACTTTGTTCTGTGGTTAGGGTGCAGCAAGTCATTACTCTTCCTAATGTATATCTGGTCTTAAGCCCGCTGTTTGTTCTTTTCCTTGACCTCTCCAGCTTCTCTGCCCTGTAACTCTCCCCACCAAAATGCATGATACCATGACCTTGCGTGTGGGATAGGGTATATAGTGTAGCAAAGAAAAGAAAGTATAGTTATGAGTCCTAAGACATTTGTTTAGAGAAAGACAGAAATTGGGGGTGGGGAGCATTCTATTTGACTTCCAAAACTGAAATAGATTTTTTTTTTTTTTTTTGCAGAAATCAAGTGGGATGTTTTTCATTCTAGAGTAAGAATGTGAATTCTTGCTGCTGCTTTTGTTTAAGCTAAAAGTAGTATTTACTTGAAACGCTCTCTGACCATTTGATTTTATCAGAAAATGTGGAGATGTCAGGAAAGTAGCTTCCTGAATATTGGGGCAGGGTAGTTGTCCTCAAAAGCATGATGGCTAATACGTGAAAGGAAGACTTTGTTGTACAGTTTAAAAGATGGACTTTTAAGGAGTTCGTTTTTTGTGGAGTATTTTTGTGTTGTTTTGTTTTTTAAGCCACAAAATCCTCAGTATTTTTGTTTAGGATGGAAGTGAGTATTCATATGAGACTGTCAGCTTTTAATTTTAAGGAAATCTGTCTACAACAGTAAATGAAGATGACAATGTATATATGTGATATAGTGAAATGAAAAAGACAATTCTGGTATTCATAACATAAGACAGAGGGGTTTTATTCTTTCTGTGTCTGTGATTTAAAATTCCGTGACCATGCTCTGACTTTTGTACTTCAACCTGAGTTTAAAAAAATAAACAAGATATTTTTTAAAGAAAGCATAATATAGTGTGTCTGGCAAGGACTTGATTCATATGAAAGCGTAAATACAAGAAGTTATTAAGGTTCTTAGTGCTCACTGTAAAATCACAGACAGAGAATTGGTTTGGTGGGGGTTTGGAATACACTAGTACCACCTAAAGTTCAGTGATACAGTACCAGAAATAGGGTCCTCGAGTGTTTTGAAAGCACTTACTCTTCAATCAGCTTAGATAAGAGCTCTTTCCCTATATCCCTCTGCCCTCTCAAAAGTCAAGAGTAAATAGAATTTGGTTTGATTGTAGGGAGGGTAAAATGAGCAGAGAATAGGACTTTTATCCTTTTCAATACCAGGAATACGATGTTTGTGATATGTATGGTACAGCAAACCTATCTAGATAATGTGAATATGCTAAACTTCCTAATTGCAGAATATTCACTCTGAAGTTACCAATTCATGCAGAATTAAGCTTCAGCTGTTATTGTTTTGAAGCCGCTGTAAATTACTGCTTTCCCCCCTTCCCTCCCCCTTTTTTTTTCTTTAAGTGGGCAGGGTGCCTGTTAAGATTAAAATTTGTTCAGTGTGGAAATCAAAACAAGTACATGCTTTACAAGCAACAACAATGAAATCCTTTTGAAATGTGTATTAATATCATTTAATAAAATAACTAGTTCTAAAGGTTTGACATTTTTCTTTGAGATTGGGGCTTTGACCAAGGGCCCCTGGCTTCTCTGGTGAGTGCAAATAGGAGGGAACTTCTCCAGGAGCTGAAACTGCTGCTTTGTGAAGCAGGCCTGTGGTTGGAAAACCTAAGTTTTCTCCAGCGAAGACCCAACATGACTGTCCAGGGTTGAAGGTGAAACCAAACTACAGAATGCAGAAAGAAAAGCCTGGATATATCTCTGAAGATGTAATTGTATTGGCTTTTGGTTCAAGGGTACGTGGGGGTGGAGGGAGGGAGTGGTGTGTGTGCCCACATGTTTCTGAGGCACACAAAAAGGTGCCACAGACCTCTCATTTTGTCCCTTCCTGGTAATCACTTGCACTTTACTCTCTTCCAGCATTCCTTTGTTTTTTAAAAATCTTTGTCCTTAATATTTTGTTTCCAATTTAATAAAGTACGGTTTCCTTTGTTGTGTGGTTGACTTTTCCCCCTCATGTTGATCTTATCCAGATGGCCCCGTTGCCTTCTGCACCCAAGGTCACTGAAAGCAATCCGAGCCTCCTCGAAGATCTTCATGGCCTTGTGGGTTTTCTGTTTGTTCCTTTGTGTAAATTGAACTTTGGAAAGGGATGATGGGTGGGGCGAGATACAGATGTTCAGGGAGTAGTTTGTAATGAAGTGGGATATACCGTATGGATAATTATTTGTATGTGTCTTCAAAAGTTTGTACAGTTGTGAGCCAAGAAGCATTTTTAAAGTAAGCATAGTATTGGGGCGGGGGGGTAGTAGGGATCCTTCTGGCTATTTCTTTCCCTACATCTACCCTTCTTATTGCGTATTGGTAATCTGTCATACAGAAGCCACACTTGACCCTTCTGTCTTGCCCCATGCCTTTTTCATAATCTAGTGAGGCTTAATAAATGGAATGTTGGCTTTAAGGGGTAAAGAGGGATAGTCACTGAATCTGGGCCAGGCCTGGGTCACTGGCAGGGTAGAAGGCTCTAAATAGTAGCCTTGATTACATGAAGCAATGTCCATGTGTCACCAGACACTTAAGAAATCACAGTGGCCTGGGAACACACCCAGCAGGTAGGGTGTACCACTGTACTGGAATCTGGCTCACCCTTTTTTCCTTGTCCCTTCTCGGGGACCTTGACTTGCCCCCCCTGATTTCCATCTCTACCCCTAACGAACCAATAGCTTTTAGACTTTCTCGTTGGCCTTTCTAGGCATGTTATTGAAAATGCATAACTTCCTCTGCCTAAGTTGTTTTATTTAAGCCAATCTTGTATAGTGGGGATGAGTTATCCCCTCATGTATGTAGACATAGTAACACAAACACCATCAGAATGGGTTTTGGGGTATTGGGGCGTTTCTCATACTTGTTCATGAGTAACTGTATGGACAAGTCTGGTCAGCTGCTATTCACAATTGCTGAGTAATAACTCATTGAGGCTGCATAGACAAGGCTACAAGAGGGATACCAGTAAGAGATTGGCTCTTAAGTAAACATCCTATTCTCTCTTCCCCCCATGTAGAAGTAGAGAGAAGCTCATATGTTTTAAAGGAAAGGAGCAAGTGTAAAGTAAAACTAAATATCAAAGTTACTTTTGACTAATTGCTGGGGAAGGGAAGGAGAAACCTTTTTTGCTTAGTTATAAGTTTGAGGGGAAGGGGATAATAAATCTGAGATCTATTTAGAAACTGATAATTACAGTTACAGCCGTCCCTCTGTATCCATGGGGGATTGGTTACGGGACCCCACCAGATACCAAAATCTGTGGACAATTAAGTCCCTTATATAAAACAGTGTAATATTTATATGTAACCTACACACATCT